TTGCGCATCCCCATGCGGCGCTTTCAGTTGGCAATGCGAGCGCGACTCGTCCGCAGTCTCCGGTCTCCAGTTCCCAGCCTCCAGCCTCCAGCCTCTGATCTTCAGCCTCCATCCTCCGATCTCCCATCTCCGGCTAGACATTCTCCGGCACGCCATTCTCCGGCTCTCCATTCTCGGTTCAGGTTACGTCCCGTTCGGTTCGGCAAACTGCGTTGCGCGAAAAATTGCGTTTAATTAAAGTATAAAGGCCAGCGAGCTCCTCAATTACGGCTGCTCGTGGGATGAGTCGCCACAGCCAGCTGAGGCTAGCGATGCCCTCGGTTCACGGGGCTCCTGGTCCGCCCCATCCTGGCTCGCCCTCATCCACCCAGTCCTCGAAAGCCTCCAAATCCCGTAGCGTTAAGCTCGGTCTGGGTGTCAATCAGCGTACGGGTCGAGTGCAATGGTGTCCGGGTCTGACCTGCTGCAAATTGCTTCTACTGCTTCCAGTTTTAATGCTGCCGCTGACCCTGGTGCTCATCCTGATCATGCGGCTGGACGGGATGCTGGCGGCGCTCCAACTGAGCGAGCAGAGGATGCGGGAGCGCCAGCCTCGGCGGCCGATGCTCCCGCCTATATGGAGGACTACGAAGCCCTCCTACCGGAGGGCAGCACCTACAACGAGCTGATCAACGAGGAGTTCCTCCTCCGGCCAGTAAGCGGGCCCAGCTGCAGCTCCTGGCCGCGGAAGGGCGCGTCGCTGCCAGCCCTATCGCTCTGGAAATTGGGAGGCCATGGACTGGAGGAGCGCAACACGTAATGAAGGACTCACGCACCTCCTTCCTGCCCCTGGGCATTCCACGCGAGTGTCTCGGCAGCGGGATCGACCTGGAATCAAGCCGCTGGACGAGGAGGTCTACCAGCGGCAAAAGAACGCTACCAAGACATCGCCCCATACTGGCTGGAGAGGATCAGGACGCGGGAGCGACGCGAGGCCGAACGCCAGGCGGAGGAGACCAGTTCCGATATCAGTGAAGCCACTGCCGCCCTGCAGAGTTTCTGGAACGAGGAGGGCACCCGCGAGGCATTCGCCTCACCCAGGCCAAGACCATGAAGCGCTACATGGACACCAATGTGGATCCTTGCGTGGATTTCTACAAGTACGCCTGCGGCAACTGGGAGCGACTGCATCCGATTCCCAAGGATAAGGCCGGTTTCGATACCTTCGAAATGCTGCGTGAAAGTCTGGACCTGGTTTGCGGAATCTCTGGAGAGAATACCCCAGTGCAACCGGCTGCGGAGCCAAGAAAAGTCCAGTGCGGAATACTCTCTTCAAACTGAATGAGCAGGGAGAGGGCGAGGGGAAGCTGACCAGGCGGCGGAACTTATTGCGGATCGACTCCGGCGGCACATCGTCAGCAAGAGGCAGTTGCTCAACCGCGTCTGGTGCGCTATAAACGCTATACAAATGGAACCAAGAGAAACGCCTCATTGAGACGCCACGTGAGAGGACCAAAGAGGAGGAGGCTGCTCCTCCTGGCCCCTGCCAAAGGATAAGTCCAAGGAAAACCGGATAACGAGGAGCAACTGCATATGCCCAGTGATTTCCTGAAGCCCCAACACGATGCCCAACTGAAGGCCAAGAATCTGTACCGATCCTGTGTGAATAGTGCCGTGCTGGCCAAGCGGGGATTGGAACCTCTACACACACTCATCCGGGAACTGGGCGGTTGGCCAGTTCTGGAGCCGCAGTGGAGCGACGACCACTTCAACTGGCAGGTCCTGGCCGCCACTTTGAGGCGCTATAACAACGACATCCTCATGTCCAGTGGGTGGGGGCAGACATCAAGAACTCCGAGGAGAACATAGTCCAGTTCGACCAGACGGGCCTCGGTCTGCCCACCCGGGAGTACTTCCTGCAGCCGAGCAACGCCAAGTACCTGCAGGCCTACCAGCGCTACATGGCTGAGGTAATGCACAAGATGGGCGCCTCCAAGGGGGACGCCCAGCGGGTGGCCGGCGAGCTGGTGGCCTTTGAGACGCAGCTGGCCGGGATCACGGCGCCGGCGGAACAGCGACTCAACGTGACCAAGGTGAGTGGGTCCGAAGGGGGCATTAAATTTAACAGCTCTTGACTGAATATTAATGGTAAAAAAAGTAAACGTCAGTATAAATCTAGAAATGTGTCATATATAGAGATAGTTAAAAATATTTACAAAGGCTGTCTAATTTTAGTATCAATGAAAGAAAAATCTCTTAGACAGACAAATGTATTTGTCTTTAATCAAGGTTGAAGCAAATTAAGATCTCTTACTCTGAACAACTCAAAATTTAAACCACGACGAATTGATCTCAATTACAGTTAATAATAATTTCATGGTAATTTAAAAACGCTTAAAATTTGAAGAAAATCATCTCATAACTCTTTAATTATAATTTATTGTTTGATTTATTTCTCATGTCTAATTTTAACCGGTCTTCATATCTCCCTTAGCTCTACAAACGGATGACACTGGATCAACTGCAGTCGGCTGTGCCGGAGATTAAATGGCGTGCCTATCTGCAGAGCCTGCAGGATCGCGAGTCCTGGGCTCCGAGGAAGTGGTCATCTACGCAGTGGAGTACATGAGCAAGCTGGTGACCCTGCTGGAGGAATCAGATCCCCGGACGGTGGCCAACTACATGATGTGGCGCTTTGTGCGGCACCGGATCAACAATGTGGATGATCGATTCGATGATATTAAGCAGCACTTCTATCACGCCCTTTTTGGCCGTGAGGAGAGTCCCCAGCGGTGGAAGGTCTGCATCGCCCAGGTGAACACCAATATGGGCATGGCGGTGGGCTCGATGTTTGTGAGCCGGTACTTCGACAACAACAGCAAGCGGGACACCCTACGGATGACCCACGATCTGCAGCAGGCCTTCCGGGATATCCTGAAAACCACTGACTGGCTGGACTCCACCACTAAGCAACTGGCCGAGGAGAAGGTCAACGCCATGTCCTTGAAGATCGGCTATCCGGACTTTATCCTCAATCCGGGTGAGCTGAATAGCAAATACGCAGGCATCGAAATCCATCCGGACAAGTACTTCGAGAACACGCTGAATGTCCTGCTCCACACGGCCAAGACGGAGCAGGCCAAGCTCCACGAGCGGGTCAACAAGACCAACTGGCAAACGGCACCGGCCATTGTAAATGCGTATTATAGCCGGAATAAGAACCAGATTATGTTCCCCGCCGGCATCCTGCAACCGCCCTTCTACCACCGCCACTTCCCCAAGTCGCTGAACTTTGGTGGCATTGGTGTGGTCATTGGCCATGAACTGACCCATGGCTTCGACGACAAGGGCAGGCTCTTTGACAGGAACGGCAACATCCACAAGTGGTGGACGGACTCCTCGATCCGGGGATTCGACGAGCGGGCCCGCTGTATCATCGCCCAATACAGTAATTATACCGTGGAGGAGGTGGGCATCGTCCTGAATGGAGAGAGTACGCAAGGGTAAGTCCACTTTATCGACTTTCTATTGATATCTTTTACTAAAAGATTATAGTGTCTTTGTACAGAAGTGTGTAATGTTAATAAATGTAATAGTTGAAGTGGTCTTGGCATTTGCAACTTTCTGTCCTTATGAAAGGAAGGATATTATTAGAACTATAGTACTACAGAAAGTATTCCTTGAATTTTAATAATAAAGTTCTAAGGCGATTTTTCCGGTTGATCAGTGTAATTTACTTATGATTACTTTTTTAGTGTAGATTTCAATGATTTGTAATTAATAAGGAATATCATTAAATTTTGCTTTAAGCTAGTTATATTTGTAACATTTATTAATGGTATCTCATTAAAGGAAAACTCTATTCTAGCGGTATTTGTAGTCTTTTATTGATGCTTAATTATTATTTCAGGTGAGAACATCGCGGACAATGGAGGTCTTCGCCAGGCCTTCCACGCTTACCAGCGCTGGATGAAGGAGCACCCCAACGAGGTGCAGGAGGAGATCCTGCCGGGCCTCAACATGACGGGTCCGCAACTCTTCTTCCTCAACTTTGGACAGGTGTGGTGCGGAGCGATGCGACCAGAGGCCATACGGAACAAACTGAACACGGCCATCCACAGTCCAGGTCGCTTCCGGGTGATCGGAACGCTCTCGAACTCCTTTGACTTTGCGCGGGAGTTCAACTGTCCCTTGGGCTCACCGATGAATCCCTTCAAGAAGTGCAGCGTTTGGTAGTCACGAAAATGGAGCAATAGCCTAAGAGTATTAAACATGACGTATGCCACGCAACCCAAGACCAAAGACCCGAGGAAAGCCAGCTGGTGAGTACATACATACCGGAATAGAACCTCCCTGTCGAGGCTCTAATTGCTCCACTTTGGGCGCCACTTAATGGAGAAAGTGGTGGTCCCTAGTGCAGCTTCCTTGTAGCTCGTTACCCATTCCCCCTTGCTGTTGTGCCAACAACGACATCGCACTTCAATTGGGGCGCACTCACTTAATTAATGGTGATTTATGCCCAGCAGTTGGCTCAGTTTCAGTAGCCCCGGGTAGCAACTTCTCCAATTGTCTTTCCAATAAAACTGCAATTGGTGCGTGCCACTTGGGATGCCGCCCTATAAATAACTTATCTCCGCAGAAAAATTACAACTTTCTGTTAAGATTTCCATCTCCATTTCAGGTTTCAATTGACGGAACGCCCAGCTGGACATTCCCTCGGTTCGAATGGGGTGTATTGACTCCCATCACACCAACAAAGATAATGTGCCAAAAATTAACTTGCAAATCTATATATTTTTCTTAGCCCTTAACTATTTATATTTGTAACTTGCAATTGTTTAGTTTATGATGCAATTTATGTTTGTGATAATTTTAATTAAATGTATATTATCAAAATATATGACTTTTAATTGGAATTGCTCAACACTGGCAGCTTTCAAGTTCAAAACAAATATTTTGGAAAACTTTTGAGTGAAATTTTGAAAGCAATTATGAGTGCCCATTCAGTTGGGAACGTGCGCTCGGCGACTAAAGAACTTCAAAGACAACGCGCTAGTGGGTGATCCAAAAATATACGTATATATTTATATATACCCATCGTTAAAAGAAGAGTCTTCGAGGAGGGAAATGAAAAATTCCACATCGAAACTCCAGTAAATGAATGCAATGCATTTTTCCTGGCTTGTGGTGATTTTCCTTTGCCTGAACAAAGTGCAGGCCCAGTTTTATGGGGACAGTGCTTACGGCTCATCCGGTGGCCAATCCATCCGCCTTGGTGAGTGAAAGAGTTCAAAGAGCTTGCACAGTTTCCTCTCCCGAATTTCCATTTGACTCAAACAAAGTATACAGGTCTTATCACAGACGATGCCACCGATAGAATCAGGCAGACCTTTGAGCACGCCATATCGGTGGTCAACAGTGAGCTGGGTGTTCCCTTGGTCGGTGAAACCGAACAGGTCGCCTATGGCAACTCCGTCCAGGCCTTTGCCCAACTTTGCCGGCTGATGCAGGTGAGAAAACTATACTATACTGGAAAGTGATGAGGTCCTGATTACCAATTTCAACCAGAGTGGGGTGGGTGCTGTTTTTGGGCCAGCTGCCAAGCACACCGCCTCTCACCTGCTAAATGCCTGCGACTCCAAAGACATACCATTCATATACCCGCATCTCTCTTGGGGTGCCCATCCGGATGGCTTCAATCTGCATCCAAGTCCGGAAGATATAGCCAACGCTCTGTACGACATTGTCAATCAGTTTGAGTGGTCTCGCTTTATATTCTGCTATGAATCCGGTGGGTGGTCCAATCAATCCTCTATGACTCTTTAATTAACATTCCTAGTTTCCTAGCTGAGTACCTGAATATTTTGGACCACCTCATGACCCTGTATGGCATCAAAGGACCTGTCATTAAGGTGATGCGCTACGATCTCAACCTGAATGGCAACTACAAATCGGTCCTTAGGCGAATCAGAAAATCGGAGGACAGTCGCATTGTGGTCGTGGGCTCCACAGAGGGCGTGGCCGAGCTGCTGCGTCAAGCTCAGCAGGTGGGCATTATGAACGAGGACTACACCTATGTTATAGGTAACTTGGACCTGCACACCTTCGAGCTGGAGGAGTACAAGTACAGTGAGGCCAACATCACGGCATTAGGATGTTCTCACCCGATCAGGAGGAAGTGCGAGATCTGGTTGAAAAGTTGCATCAGGAACTCGGGGAAAGTCAAGCCTTAAATACAGGTAGAGATATTTTAAGTTCTGGTAGTTAATATAATTTCTGTATTTTCCTTTTTAAGGTTCCTCATCCATCACCATGTCCATGGCTCTCACCTATGATGCAGTGCGTGTCATTGCGGAGACTACGAAGCATCTTCCCTACCAACCTCAGATGCTTAACTGTTCCGAGCGTCATGACAATGTTCAACCGGATGGTTCCACCTTCAGGAACTACATGAGATCGGTTGGTAAAAATGTAAACACTCTATAACACTTTACTAAATATGCAAAATCAAAACAGTTGGAAATCAAAGAGAAGACCATCACAGGTCGCATCTATTTGAGGGAAATGTGCGCAAGGGTTTCACCTTCGATGTCATCGAGCTGCAGTCTAGTGGATTGGTCAAGGTCGGCACCTGGGAAGAGGGCAAGGACTTCGAGTTCGAGCGACCACCCCAAGTTGTTAACTTTAATGACATCGATGACGGTTCGCTGGTCAACAAAACCTTCAAGGTTCTAATATCTGTTGCGGTACCTAGCATTATCATAGCTACAATACTGTTTTCATTTTTAACCATGGAAAACTTAAATTACAGACCAAACCTTATGCCAGTCTCGTGGAGAGTATAGACACACTAATAGGCAACAATCAGTACCAGGGTTATGGAGTGGATCTAATAAGGATTGGCCGATAAACTTGGCTTTAACTTCACCTTCCACGATGGTGGAAATGACTATGGATCTTTTAATAAAACCACTAATTCCACGACAGGAATGCTTAAGGAAATCGTAGAAGGGGTGAGTAGGATGTCGGAATAACTATCCACTGATCGTTAATTAGGAAAATTTAAAACCAGCGAGCTGATCTGGCGATCACTGATCTCACCATCACATCGGAGCGAGAAGAAGTTATCGATTTTCCATACCCTTTATGAATCTGGGTGAGATCCATAACTTATCAGTTGTTTCCAAAGTCTAATGATTTATTTCATTAACCAGGCATAGCCATTTTATATGTAAAACCTCAGAAGGCTCCCCCCGCCCTTTTCTCCTTCATGGACCCATTTTCATCGGAGGTGTGGCTTTACTTGGGTATTGCCTATGTGGGAGTCTCGCTCTGCTTCTTTATTATAGGTCGACTTTCGCCCATTGAGTGGGATAACCCCTATCCCTGTATTGAAGAGCCTGAAGAGCTGGAAAACCAGTTCACCATCAACAATTCCTGTGGTTCACAACGGGAGCTTTGTTGCAGCAAGGATCTGAAATAGCTCCCAAGTAAAATAGTTATTATAGTCCTCGAAACTTTTACAAATCATTTATATTTTCATAGAGCTCTCAGCACACGTACAATTCCGCCATTTGGTGGTTTTTCACCTTAATTATGGTTTCATCTTACACTGCCAACTTGGCTGCCTTCTTGACCATCGAGAATCCCACCAGTCCCATCAACAGTGTTGAAGACTTGGCTGAGAATAAAGACGATGTTCAGTATGGAGCTAAACGTACAGGATCCACCAGGAACTTCTTTTTGGTGAGTACTTAAAATTAGCTCTGTTCAAATAAACCAAGTTATATATTTTTTTACTCCTAAGACATCGGAGGATCCTACCTATATGAAAATGAACGAATACATGATGGCTCATCCAGAAATGCTGATGGACAACAATCAGGATGGAGTGGACAAAGTGAAGGCGGGCACCAAGTACGCTTTTCTGATGGAATCCACCTCCATTGAATTTAACACGGTTAGGGAGTGCAATCTGACCAAGGTGGGGGATCCGCTGGATGAGAAGGGTTACGGAATAGCAATGGTAAAAGTGGGTACTACAGATACGCTATTAATCTGGTGTAATAACAAAGCTCCCATAGATTGGCCCTATCGCGATAAGTTCAACAATGCCCTGCTGGAGTTGCAGGAGCAGGGTGTCTTGGCCAGGTTGAAGAACAAGTGGTGGAACGAAGTTGGGGCCGGTGTTTGCAGTGTAAGTTATTATTAAGTAACAAAAACCCATCATAAACCCCTTTCCCAGGCAAAAAGCGATAATGATGGTCCTTCGGAGTTGGGCGTGGACAATCTGAGTGGCATTTACGTCGTCTTGGTCATCGGATCCCTCTTTTCCATGCTGGTCTCCATTTTATATTGGTGCTACTTTGTTTTCAGGAAAGCTAAATTCTATGCGGTACAGTAACTATGACCATTCCCATTACGACTCAACAAGATATTTTTTTAGGTTCCGTTTTGCGATGCCCTCGCTGAGGAATTCAAAATTGTCATCAGCTTTTCAGAAAATGAAAGAGCCCTAAAAAGCGCCCAGTCAGTTTATTCCCGCAGTCGAATTCATCTCAGTCGATAGAGTCCCTAAAAACGGATTCTGAGGAGAATATGCCGGATGAGGATTAGGATGAGAATTTTTTCTATATTCTCTCCAAAGTTTCGAAAAAGCTTTTTGAAAATTTCACTCAAAACGATTTCCATTTGACATTTTGGAAGCAAACGTCAGTTGTGGCTTTTTCTCGAAGTGTTCGGTTGGAAAAGCACAGATATTTATTTTTTAATATAATATATATATATATTAATATATATGTTAAATAAAAACCATATAAAATGTTTAGCAACCATTTTATATATTTTGGGAATTATTGTATTACAATTTCGGTTAGCAGTGCTCAGTATGAAAACTTTGGAGGCTACGACAACTTTCAAAGTTCCGAAAGTGTCCCAATTGGTAAGTAACTTCGAGAAGAAACCCCAAAAAAAACTCATGAAAAATGTGTGTCGCGTGAGCATTTTTTTTTCGTGCAGTTCCAAACAAACTGTTTTCAACGCGCGATTTATTTTTAATTTCTCATAAAGAGAACAAGCTGTTCGTTCCATCAACGCTGAAAGCTCGTAAAATCGGTTTTAGTATTTGTTTGTTTGTTTGGGTTTTCCGACTGAATGGGATGATTAGGTCAAGTTGTTGTTGATAAACAAACCGGCAAGAGAGAAATGGCCGAAAGTGGATGTGAGAGAATTTCTCTGTTTCAGGCCTGCTCACCGACCAGAACACGGAGCAGATGAACATCGTCTTTGACCACGCCATCGAAGTGGCCAACGTGGAGGTGGGCACCGCCTTGACATCGCTGAAGGAGGAGGTCAACTACGGAGATGCCTACCAGAGCTACGGCAAATTATGCAGGATGCTTGAGGTAAGGTCTTTCTATAAAGACTCTTTTGTAAACATACTATATGTATTCTGAATATTTTATCGAAAGTAGAAAACACTTAACAACTTTTTATAGCAGTTCATATAAGATGTATATCCATACGTCGTGGAAAATATTTAAAAAAGTTTTAAATATGTACAAAAAAGGGTGTAAAATGATTTAATTTTTCATGAATCATAAAACGCATTTAAACGCATTTTTTAAAGAATATATTGCAAATTTTCTTTATGTTGTAGTTGTAGGAAATCTTTTCCATTTTACGAGGGACCCCCAACGATTAAGTTTATTGGTTATTATTTACTAAACATTCGTTTAAACGTTCTAAAAGTAGGTAATAAACGTTTCAATTAAATGAGCTTTCATAAACAATCTTAAAGTAAACAATGTGCTTCTCATTATTTAAAACTTTTTATAACAGACTGGCATCGCGGGGGTGTTCGGACCCTCGTCGCGGCACACTGCCGTCCACCTGATGTCCATTTGCGATGCCATGGATATACCCCACATCTACTCCTACATGAGCGAGTACGCGGAGGGCTTCAATCTGCATCCGCATCCGACCGACCTGGCCAAAGCCCTACACAGCCTCATCGTGGCGTTCAACTGGACTCGCTTCATTTTCCTCTACGAATCCGGTGAGCAGCCTTTGTGGACGGAATAAAAGAGGTCCTTTAATAATTCCAAAATCGCTCCCAGCCGATTACCTCAACATATTGAACGAGCTGACCACATTATTTGGGATGAATGGACCCGTGGTCACGGTGCTGCGATACGACATGCAACTGAATGGCAATACAAACAGGTCCTTCGGCGGGTGCGGAAGTCCGTGGACAATCGAATTGTGGTCGTGGGTTCCAGCGAGACGATGCCAGAGTTCTTAAACCAGGCCCAGCAAGTGGGCATAATCAACGAGGATTACAAGTATATCATTGGAACCTGGACTTTCACTCCTTTGACTTGGAGGAGTACAAGTACAGTGAGGCCAACATAACAGGGCTCCGACTGTTTTCGCCAGAGAAGATGGCCGTCAAGGAACTACTCATGAAGTTGGGCTATCCCACCGATCAGGATGAGTTCCGAAATGGTAATTAGCCTTTTATGGTGTAATATGATTAAAATAGTTCGACTTTCTTCAAGGTTCCTGTCCCATTACCGTGGAAATGGCTTTAACCTACGATGCTGTTCAGTTGTTCGCACAGACCCTCAAAAATCTTCCATTCAAACCGGTGCCCCAGAATTGCTCTCAGAGAACTGAAAGTGTTCGTGATGATGGCTCCTCCTTCAAGAATACATGCGAACGGTGAATAGAAAAGGAGGAATTTCGTATAAAATAGTTATTATTATAGTTCTTGTGACTATTATAGCTGCGCCTCACGGAACATTTGCTTACGGGTCCCATCTACTTTGAGGGAAACGTCCGCAAGGGATACCACCTGGATGTCATCGAGCTGCAGCCCTCGGGGATCGTAAAAGTGGGAACCTGGGACGAGAATAGGAATTACACAGCCAGGCGACTGGCACCAACCACCGCCCTCTTCGATAGCGTCGACAATTCGCTGGCCAATAAGACGTTCACCATCTTGCTGTCGGTGCCAGTAGGTGACCAGAGCCCATATTTGAACCACATTTAATCATGACGCAATTAAACCTTGCAGAACAAACCATATGCTCAGCTGGTGGAGACGTACAAGCAGCTGGAGGGCAATAGCCAGTACGAGGGATACGGTGTGGATCTGATCAAAGAACTGGCCGATAACTGGGCTTTAATTTTACCTTCGTAAATGGTGGCAATGATTATGGATCGTATAATAAATCCACGAATGAATCCACGGGCATGTTGAGGGAAATAATGCATGGGGTGGGAAAGGATTTTACCTTTTTTTAACTCCTTATTAAACACTTATTTTTTTAGCGAGCTGACTTGGCTATTACGGATTTAACATTACCTCGGAACGCGAACAGGCCATAGATTTTACTATCCCCTTCATGAATTTGGGCATGTCACATTTTCCTACTGCTGATCCACATTTATTTATGGGTTAATTAATTTCAGGCATTGCAATTCTGTACTTGAAGCCCCAGAAAGCCGCACCTGAGCTCTTTACCTTCATGGATCCGTTCTCTGAGGAGGTTTGGTGGTTCCTGGGCTTCTCCTTTGTGGGCGTGTCCTTGAGCTTCTTCATATTGGGTCGTCTGTCGCCGAGCGAATGGGACAATCCCTATCCATGCATTGAAGAACCAGAGGAACTGGAAAATCAATTCACTATAGGCAACTCCATTTGGTTCACAACTGGTGCCTTGCTTCAGCAGGGTTCCGAAATCGGTCCAAAGTATGAAGTATCATCTTATATATGCGATTTCTACATTTCTTATATTCCTGACAGAGCTTTATCCACTCGTACCGTAGCCAGTTTCTGGTGGTTTTTCACCCTACTTGTGGTGTCTTCTACACCGCCAACTTGGCTGCCTTTCTGACCATCGAAAAGCCGCAAAGTTTGATCAACAGTGTCGACGACTTGGCAGAGAACAAGGATGGCGTGGTCTACGGAGCGAAGAGAACCGGATCCACCAGGAACTTTTTTATAGTATTGCAAAATCTACTTTATGATTATTATAAGTATCTATAAATGATAAATATTCTTTAGACATCTGTAGACGAACGCTATAAGAAGATGAATAAGTTCATGACCGAAAACCCCCGACATCTTACCGAAGACAATATGGAGGGGTATATCGAGTAAAGACCAACACTCACTATGCATTCTTAATGGAATCCACTTCCATTGAGTATAATACCAAGCGAGAATGCAATCTTAAAAAGATCGGAGATGCATTGGACGAGAAGGGCTATGGAATAGCTATGAGAAAGAGTAAGTTGAGTATATTCAAAAGTTTATATTACCTTCTTATCTGGATATTCCTATAGACTGGCCGCATCGCGACAAGTTTAATAATGCCCTGTGGAGTGCAGGAGCAGGAGTGCTGGAGAAGATGAAAAACAAGTGGTGGAATGAGGTGGGCACAGGAATTTGCGCTACCAAAGAGGACGCTCCAGATGCCACGCCCCTAGACATGAATAATTGGAGGGCGTGTTCTTCGTACTCCTCGTCGGAAGTTGCTGCGCTCTGCTTTACGGGATTATAAGCTGGGTCTTGTTTGTGATGAAGAAAGCTCATCACTACCGGGTGGGTTAACAACTCTTTTAAAAAGCGTAGTTATTATTGTCTATCATATTTCAGGTCCCGCTGCGCGACGCTCTTAAAGAAGAGTTCCAGTTCGTTATCGACTTTAATAACTATGTACGGGTGCTGAAGAACTCCGCCTCCATCTACTCGCGCAGCCGTCAATCCTCCATCTCAGCAGCTTCTGTGGTGCAGGAATCGCAATAAAGATCCGTCTTCGACAGTAAAGTTCGTTGATCTAACTGCATTTTTGGGCCTGTCTTTATTCGATGTAATCCAATCTACTCTTATTTTGCTTGGAATCATTCAAAACCACTTTCTTAAATGTACTCTGCAAGATTTTATTAAAAAATTAAAATAATAAGCAGTCATAAATATTCAAAAATAAATAAAAATTGTATTTTGTTCGCATTTTAAGGACACTAGATGTTAGTCGGAATGCAGCAGTTACTGTCAATTCTAAATGAACAATTCGTTAAACTCTACAAATTAATATTTAACTTGAAAAGAAGTTTTCTATTGGGTATTAAAGTATATAAAGAGCTAATGAAGTATTGTAAAGAAAGTTGCTGCTTTTAACCGATTAAAGCTGATTCTGAAAATATTGCCTATTTTTAAGATAACTTTTAAATTTGGTTTTAGAGAATCTGAAAGAAAAATGTTCCAAAACTGTTGATAATTTTAAAAAATTGATTTCTTAAATAAATAACTAAGTTTTATAAATGAGATATATTTATTGCACCTCCGATTAGAAAAAAAAATTAATTTAAATTGGCAATAATTTAAGTTTCTACAAAAAGACAGCAACTAAATACTTCTCAGCGTCTATTCCTGATGTCTAGCACCTTTCTTAACAAATGTGTGTAAACGTTAGTGGATTATTAAATACGTCAACAAATACTTCGAATGAGATCGAACTTAGGTCCAGTGCTTGGCGCGCCACAGCAGGCAATGGATGTGATTGTCCACATCCGCCGGTGGAACTAATTTGGCTGCACCATGTGTGGGTGTACTGACGGCAGAGCACATGCTGGATGTCTCTGCGGAGTCGACGTAGCGTGAGATCAGAGAGCGATACCGTCTTCCGATCGTGGCGATCAAGGGCACCTTGTCGTTAGAAAGCGTTATTATGGATTTAATCTGTAAGAGGATCATAAAATAATCAGCATCCACCAAAC